ATTAAGTGGTATATGAAGTTAAAATTAATTACTCATTCAAAAGTTTGAAACCATGCTCTTTTATCATAAAAAAAAAATTAAAATACATTAATTTAAATTTATAACCTGATTTGATATTTTTAATCAACAAAAAGAGCCTAAACTTTAATTTTTAGCCTTTATCGAAAAACTCGATCTTTTCGTAGGGAGCCCACATTTTTCAAGATAAATTAGAAAAAAAAAAATTTTTTACTGCATAAAAATATCATGCACTGACATATTATGAAGATTAAAGAGGTTTGAGACCTTAGGTGTTCTCGTTTCTCCAAAAAGTTGTTTTTTATCGGGGCTAATCCACCAATTAAGTGGTATATGAAGCTAAAATTAATTACTCGTTCAAAAGTTTGAAACCATGCTCTTTTACCATGAAACTAAATTTAAAATACATTAATTTAAATTTATAACCTGATTTGGTAGTTTTAATCAACAACAAAGAGCCTAAACTTTAATTTTTAGCCTTTATCAGAAAACTTGATATTTTTGTAGGGAGCCCACATATTTCAAGATAAATTAGAAAAAAAATATTTTTGTTTACTGCATAAAGGCATCATGAACTGAAATATTATGAAGATTAAAGAGGTTTGAGACCTTAGGTGTTCCCGTTTCTCCAAAAAATAATTTTTATTTGGGTTAGTCCACTTATTAAGTGGTATATGAAGTTACAATTAATTACTCGTTCAAAAGTTTGAAATGATTCTCTTTTAGAATGTAATTATATTTAAAATACGTTAATTTTAAATTATAATCTGATTTGACATTTTTAATCAACAATTAAGACCCTAAACTTCAACTTATAGTCTTTATCGGAAAACTTGATCTTTTTGTAAGGATTAGCCCATATATATCAAGATAAATTAGAAAAAATGATATTATTGTTTTACTGCATAGAAGTATCATGCACTGACATAGTATGAAGACTAAAGAGGTTTGAGACCTTAGGTGTTCCCGTTTCTCCAAAAAATAAAATTTTATAGGGGTTTGTCCACTTACTAAGTGGTATATGAAGTTAAAATAAAATAATTACTTGTTCAAAAGTTTGAAACGATGCTCTTGTACCATGTAAATAAATTTAAAATAAATTAAATTAAATTTATAATCTTATTTTATATTTCTAATCAACCATCAAGAGCGTAAACTTATTTTTATAGCCTTTATCGAAAAACTTGATTTTTTCGCAAGGGTTAGCACACATATTTCAAGATAAATTAGAAATTATGATATTTTTGTTTTATTGCATAGAAGCATCATTCACTGACATAGTATGAAGATTAAAAAGGTTTGAGACCTTAGGTGTTCACTTTTTTCCAAAAAACAAATTTTTATCGGGGTTAGTCCACTTATTAAGTTGTATATGAAGTTAAAATTAATTACTCGTTCAAAAGTTTGAAACGATGCTCTTGTACCATGTAAATAAATTTAAAATACATTAATTTAAATTTATAACCTGATTTGATATTTTTTTAAACAACAACAAAGAGCCTAAACTTTAATTTTTAGCCTTTATAAAAAAACTCGATTGTTTCGTAGGGGCTAGCCCACATATTTTAAGATAAATTAGAAAAAGTGATATTTTTGTTTTACTGCCTAGAAGCATCATGCACTGACATAGTATGAAGATTAAAGAGGTTTGAGACCTTAGGTGTTCCCGTTTCTCCAAAAAAAAAAATTTATCGGGGTTAGTCCACCTATTAACTGGTATATAAAGTTAAATTTAATTACTCGTTCAAATGTTTGAACGATGCTCTTTTACCATGAAAATAAAATTAAAATACACTAATTTAAATTTATAACCTGTTTTGTTATTTTTTAATCAACAACAAAGAGCCTAAACTTCAATTTTTAGCCTTTATCAAAAAACTCGATCTTTTCGTAGGGGTTAGCCCACATATTTCAAGATAAATTAGAAAAAAATGATTTTTTTTTTTTACTGCATAGAAACATCATGCACTGAAATATTATGAAGATTAAAGAGGTTTGAGACTTTAGGTGTTCCCGTTTCTCCAAAAATAAATTTTTATTGGGGTTAGTCAACTTATTAAGCGGTATATGAAGTTAAAATAAAATAATTACTCGTTCAAAAGTTTGAAATGATGCTCTTGTACCATGTAAATAAATTTAAAGTACATTAAATTAAATTTATAATCTGATTTTATATTTTTAATCAACCATCAAGAGCCTAAACTTATTGTTATAGCCTTTATCGAAAAACTTGTCTTTTCTTAATTGTTAGCCCACATATTTCAAGTTAAATTAGAAAATATGATATATTTTTTTACTGCATAGAAGCATCATTCACTGACATAGTATGAAGTTTAAAGAGGTTTGAGACCTTAGGTGTTCCCGTTTCTCCAAAAACATTTTTTTATCGGGGTTTGACCACTTATTAAGTGGTATATGAAGTTAAAATTAATTACTCGTTCAAAAGTTTGAAAAATATTCTCTTTTACCATGTAAATAAATTTAAAATACATTAAATTAAATTTATAACCTGATTTGATATTTATAATCAACAACAAAGAGCCTAAACTTCAATTTATAGCCTTTATCGAAAAACTCAAAATTTTCTTAGGGATTAGCCCACATATTTCAAGATAAATTAGAAAATATGATATTTTTGTTTTACTGCATAGAAGCATCATTAACTAACATAGTATGAAGATTAAAGAGGTTTTAGACCTTAGGTGTTCCCGTGTATCCAAAAAATATTGGGGTTAGTCCACTTATTAAGTGGTATATGATGTTAAAATTAATTACTCGTTCAAAAGTTTGAGATGATGCTCTTGTACCATGTAAATAAATTTAAAATACATAATTTGTAATCTGATTTGATATTTTTAATCAACAATCAAGAGCCTAAACTTCAATTTATAGCCTTTTTGGAAAACTCGATCTTTTCATAGGGGTTAACCCACATATTTCAAGATAAATTAGAAAATATGATATTTTGATTTACTGCATAGAAGCATCATTCACTGACATAGTATGAAGATTAAAGTGATTTGAGACCTTAGGTGTTCCCGTTTCTCCAAAAACATTTTTTTTAATCGGGGTTAGTCCACTTATTAAGTTGTATATGTAGTTAAACTTAATTACTCGTTCAAAAGTTTGAAATGATTCTCTTGTTTCATGTAAATAAATTTAAAATACATTAAATTAAATTTATAATCTGATTTGATATTTTTAATCAACAATCAAGAGCTAAAGTTCAATTTTTAGCCCACATATTTCAAGTTAAATTAGAAAAAAATGATATTTTTGTTTTACTGAATAGAAGCATCATGCACTGACATAGTATGAAGATTAAAGAGGTTTGAGATCTTAGGTGTTCTCGTGTCTCCAAAAAATATTTTTTTATTGAGGTTAGTCCACTCATTAAGTGGTATATGAAGTTAAAATAAATTATTCATTCAAAAGTTTGAGATGATGCTCTTGTACCATGTAAATAAACTTGAAATAAATGAAATTAAATTTATAATCTGATTTGATATTTTTAATCAACAATTAAGAGTCTAAACTTCAATTTATAGCTTTTTTGGAAAATTTGATGTTTTCGTAGGGGTTACCCCACATATTTCAAGATAAATTAGAAAAATGATATTTTTGTTTTACTGCATATAAGAATCATGCACTGACATAGTATGAAGATTAAAGAGGTTTGAGACCTTAGGTGTTTCTGTTTCTTCAAAAAACTATCGGGGTTAATCCACCTATTAAGTGGTATATAAAGTTAAAATTAATTACTCGTTCAAAAGTTTGAAACGATGCTCTAGTACCATAAAAATAAATTTAAAATACATTAATTTAAGTTTATAACCTAATATGGTATTTTTTAATCAACAACAAAGAGCCTAAACTTTAATTTTTAGCCTTTATCGAAAAACTTGATTTTTCGTAGGGGTTAGTCCACATATTTCAAGATAAATTAGAAAAAAATGATAAATAAATTACTCATTGTAAATTTAAAAATTATGTTCATATAGCATGAAAATATATTTAGTATACATTAATATAATTTTAGAGTGTGGTTAGTAATATTTAAAACAACATTAATGAGGCTAAATTCTAATAGATAATCTTTATTGGAAAATTTTTGATCTTTTTGTAAGTTAAATTTGAAAATATGGTATATTTTAATGCATAATTTCATCATGCAGTATCATATAATGAAGAGTAAAGAGGTATGGGACCTTTGTAGTTCATGTTTCTCCAAAAACAAAAACAAAATCAATTTTATAAGGGTTAATCCACTTAATTAGGTGAATATGAAGTTTTATTAAATTATTCAATAAAATACTAGAAATTATGTCCATATACCATGAAAATATTCTAATATACATAAATATAAATTTAGAATGTGATTATGTATTTTTTAATCAACAATAAATAGCCTAAACTACAGAATATGGCATTTATCAGAAAACACATTTTTCATAGGGGTTGGTTAACCTACATGTTTCAAGAAAAAATGAGAAAATATGATATTTTTTTAATGTATAGCTGTATCAAGCAATGACATAGTATGAAGATTAAAGAGTTTCAGACTTTAGGTATTTTCGTTTCTCCAGAAAATAAAATTTTAATAGGGGTAATGTCAACTTATTAAGTCTAAATAAATTACTAGTTGGATTAGAGATGGCGCTTTGTGCTACTACTCAAGGTTTACTTTGTGTAGTAAACTCATCATCCATACAAAATGGTTCATTTGGATATGGATCGTCCCTTTCTCCCACTGTATAATTGTCAGTTTGAAGTTAAGTTTGACCTAACTCCAGCCCAAGTCTATTCGGACAACTTCGAATGGAAAGGCAATCCTCAACCAGAGATGTGACCTTCCCTTTCTCGACCAAAAAGGAGAAGCTTCATTTGATCAAAGATTAAACTCTCTTGTTTCTTCGGATTATTTAGCAACTGTGAGCTTTAGTCTGGATTTAACCATGGTTGGATTCTTTTTATATGTTTCCAAATTACATTAATATGATGATGATAACAAACATCTCTTCAAGCTTTCTGATCCTTTGCTGGTCTACTTATTAATAGTTTCGTCGTGTAAAATGAAAGTGAGATGGCCATGGTCCAGTCAATAATCAATAATCCATAAGATACAAAAATCCACAAGACAAAAAAGAAGACAAACAACATAATAGATGAACGAGACAAACAATGTTCTTTTACATTACATGTAATGAAATATGGAATAGTTGACTGGTAATTCTCCGATCAGAAACAAGCATCTAAGAGACAGCAACAGCAGAGAGCAGCCAGACTGTGATTTATTTTTATAAACAAAGCAAAACATAATTATTATTGGATACTAAAAAATAAACAAAAAATGAAAAAAAAACAGAGAGATGGGATCAAGAACATACCATCCTTCGAGCATACCAACTTGTTTCTTTTGCTGAGGAGCTTGAGAGTATTGGGGAGGCGGAGGATAACCTTGAGCAGGGTATCCCTGAGCATATCCCGGCGGTGGATAACCGGCGGGAGGATAAGCGGTCGGAGGATAAGCGTCCTTAGGAGGATATCCTTTGAACAAAAGAATTCAAGAGAGCAAAAATATTAAACCAGCAGAGAATGATAAAACCGTACAAATGAGAAGATATATTACCTTGGGGAGGAGGAGCACCAACAGGATGTTGTGCTTGATTATACATCTTCTTCTTCTGTTTTTTTTAAGCAATCTCTGTTTCTTTCTTTCCTTTATAGAGAAGTAAGTAATGCCGGTGGAGAATAATAATTTCCTTTTTGTCAATTCAAACTATCTTAAAAAGTCTTTCTTGCATCATAAAGATTTACGAATAAATTTCCTTTAAAAGTTAGGTAATCTTCTGTTGTTGATACTTGACCTTACAGCGTTTTAGTTTTAACCCACTAATATCATATGTTAAAAACCTAAATATTAAGCAATTTATTTGTATGATCTTTAGCTTCTCTTTGTTTGTGCTTTTGTGGATTTTATTTTGTTAAGGTCAAATTAAGCAATTTATTTTGTTAAGTTTAAATTAAGCAATTTATTTATCAACCTCGATAAAATATTAAAGTTAATATTAAACCACAATATTTAAATCTTTATCTCAAACATAATTAACTAGGTGTTTTGCCCGCACATGCGGACTTAATTATATTTAAGTCAATTTAAAAAATTATCAAAATAAATGATTGTTTGAATCCAAATAATTCGATCTAAAACATTAAACTTATTTACATTGATAAAGTTATTCACAAATTAAAAACAAATCTATGTTTTCCTTTAAAATTTTGAAAAATCTAAAGTCTATTTCATTTCTTCTTAATTGATAAAAATAATAGAAATCTATCGTTCAATTTGAAAATTGAATCAATAAATTTACATTCAAAAATTGATCAAACAGAAAGAATAAAATTAGTTTGGATAATAATACAATATATTTGAATTTATTTTTGTCAAACACGTAATTTCTTTCTTTTTGAATGATCTTTATTATTTGATTATTGTTATTTATTTTCTCACGATTCATGTTTAAGGTTTAACTATATAAAATATAAAAATAAATTTAATTTAACGTGTGAGTTTAGAGGCGAAAAATAAATTCACGAATATATATCATTATATTATATTATTATTTTATTTTAAATTGAAAATAGTGATGTATTATACTTTTTTCAATTTTCTCATTTGAATTATATACAATTAAAAAATTTACTTTATAAATAGTTATTTATGTGTTTTCTGTTTTTGATTTTTTTATCAAAAATATATTTTCCGGATAACAACACAATATATATAAGAATTATCTATTTATTTTATTTTTAAATATATATTTAGATTATGGATAATTCTTCTTATGAATATTATTAATTTAAATCATTTATCTAATTAAATAAGTATTAAATTCGTTTTTATTTTATTTAGATATTTTATTCATTAAGGGTATAAACGATATTAACCACTCTAACTTTTAACGTGAGAGCTCCGTTGCGAAAAATCACTTCGCAAATAATAGTATAGACTAGATAAAATTTTGAAAAATCTAAAGTCTATTTCATTTTTTCTTAATTGATAAAAAGTATAGAGATATATCTTTCAATTTGAAAAATTGAATCGATAAATATACATTCAAAAATTGATCTTACAGAAAGAATAAAATTAGTTTGGATAATAATACAATATATTTGAGTTTGTTTTTTTCAAACACGTATTTGTTTTCTTTTTGAATGATCTTTTATTTTATATGATTAATTCATGTTTAAGGTTTAACTATATAAATATATAAACATAAATTGAATTTAACATGTGAGTTCAGAGGCGAAAAATAAATTCACGAATATATATCATTATATTATTTTAATTTGAAAATAATTACGTATTATATTTTTTTCAATTGTCTCTTTTGAATTATATACAATTTAAAATTTTATTTAATGAATATTTACTTATTTTTTCTGTTTTTAAATTTTTTTATCCAGAATATATTTTCCGGATAACAACACAATATATATAAGAATTATGTTTTTTATTTTAAAGTATTTTACTTTATGAATATTTATTTATGTGTTTTCTGTTTTTGAATTTTTAATCAAAAATTTGTTTTCTGGATAACAACACAATATATATATAAGCATTATCTTTTTTATTTTATTTTTAAATATATATTTAGATTATGGATAATTCTTATCATTATTATTAATTTAAATCATTTATCTAATCAAATAAGTATTAAATTCGTTTTTATTTTTTAGCTGATTTATATATTATTTTCATCAAGGGTATAAACGATATTAACCACTCTAACTTTCAACGTGAGAGCTCCATTGCGAAAAATCACTTCGCAAATAATAGTATAGATTTGTTGGTTGATCATGTTTGAACTTAAAATTATACCGTTGTTTTCCTGATAATATAACAACAGCAAGAAAACAAATTAGATACAACCTCCTCGCTTGAATATTAAAAAAAAAACAAAACTTTTATAAACCCACATGCTACCCATGACATCGATAATTCTACTATATACTATTCGAATATTAATTTCCATATAATAAGATTCATTCACACCATCACAAGAAAGTAGAACCCATTAAGGACTGTAAGTAACAGTGCTCATTGCATTATCTACACAGCCTAAACAAATAACCAAAAAGCATCTTTACAACAGATCGTGGCAATATCATCCACAAAATCTAAAACACTAACAAATTCATCAAAGAAGAAAGCAAATTTCCCTACGAGAAGAGTTTTCTATCTCTCTAAACGATTTGACACTTTACGCCAGCTTGGTTCAGAACCAACGCCCGTGGCCGGTGTGTGCTATGCTCTGCTGATCCTATCAGCATTTGCTGCTGCCCATTTGCTAAAATCAAGTGAAGACTTACCAATTCTTTAACCATCTTTGTGAGATTCTTCCACTCTTCTTTTGATTTTTTTGCGCCTTTCAGGAGGTTTATGGACAGAGAAAGGGAAATGATCTGATTCACATTGTAGAGATGATCGCATCCTATTGTTTTTTCTTGAAGAGAAAACATTACACATTAGCTTATTATTTGATTTCAGTTTACGTTAAGGATGTTGTAGATAGTCACAAATCACCCCCTGGTTGATATCACAAAATTCGTATTCTAATTCCCAGTCGAGGCCCATTCCTCTACAGTTTAATATGGATATATACATTTAGTGACTAAACTTAATTATGTTTATACAGTTTACCAAAGATATCTAACAATACATTTAGATTTATTTGGCCCATATGTAGTTAGGACTTGCATCCAATGCATGCAGAGCCGGTTTTGATGGCATACCCATGAAACTTTTGCATGGGGCCCATGATTTTTCTAAAAAATGTAGGGCGTATACTTTTTCCATAACTGTTTAATGTATCAACGTATACATGTCGTCCGATTTAGAGCATCCGCAATGGTGATGGTGATATTTAAAAAGAAATTATTAAGGAAAAAATAATTAAATAACCAACTAGGAAAAATAATTAAATAATCAGTGAACTTCATAAAAGTTAAGGATTAATCCTTAAGTATCTCTAAATAAAGATTTTTTTTTAGTGAATTATTGCATTATTTGCGGGTCCTTACGATACGTGTCAGCCCGTAATTGATTAATACTTTTTTTTGCTTTTATCTGAAAAGAATAATAATAATTAAAAATCAAAAACTAAAGACTCCCAATAGATAACATCATTGCAGATGCTCTTAAAATGTGGTGAGACCGGACCACTTGTAAAATGCAAACACAATTAAATCATATATATAAAAACCTTCTGAATGATTAATTTATGTATATTCCGAAGACTATTCACCAATTACAGGAGAAAAATGGAAAGACCACTCCATTTTATTCCATAACATTCCAAATGATTCCAAAGAAAAAAGAAAAAGTTAACTTTCATTTGAAAAAACATTCTAAATCAAAAACGTTCTGGAATAATTGGAATGCTGATTCCTTTCCATTCAGTTTCGTAAATCATAATTCTTACAATTCTGTACATTCCTATTATTTGTCACCAGTTACACTCCTTATGTTAGTTAATATGAATTGAAAAGGAAACTAACTGATAGGCAATACTTACTTTTTAGGTTAAATTATACTTTCTTAGCAATACATGATAATTTCAAATAAAGGGTGCAACATTAAAACAACAATAATTTTCTGCAAAAAAAAACGTTAAAACAATAATATTAGTACCTTTACCATTAACATAAGGTCGATTATTGTTTAAACTGAAGATTGATTGAACCGTTAATTGCGTTACGTATAGGCTAGCTAACTGAGCCATGTTGAATTATGCGCACCAGTCATTGGCATATTGACTTCTTTAACTATGATTGAGAAAAGAGGCCGACCAAACGAGCTGCCTAAACATATTTGTAAGCAACTAACTATGATTACGAATTAATATATTCACAACAACGATCATTTGTCTTTGGTTTAAAAACCTCTTAAACGCCTATCATTTGGTTAGGGGTGGGCGCGGATCGGATATCAGGATTTTTTAAGGTATTTGTGATTTGTTTCGAAAGTTACGAATATCTAATTTTAGTATTTGCTTTGCTTCGAAAAAATACGGATATCCAAAAAATAAATATATATTTGCGAATATTTACGAATATTTATGGATATCTCATTCATTTTGACTAATACAAATAATCTTACAATTTTGATACAAAGATGCTTTGCAAGAATTTTTTTTGCATAATATATAAAATTAAAATTAAAAGAACTAGTAAATTTACATATTTTGTAATTTTTTAAGTTTAAGTTACAATTATAATAACACAAAATTTAAGGAAAAAATATTATTGTCATAATTTTTTTTCTCTATTTTTATGTAATACTTCTATATAAGTAATAATATGAATCGAATTGTTCAAAATCATGTGTTAGAATAATAACTATATAATTTTATACATTTAAAATTTTAAATATAATCAAGATATACATATATTTATATATTTCGGATATCCGCTTCCCAAAATTTTAATATTTGTGATTTGCTTCGATTTTAACAAATATTGATTTTTAGTATTTGCTTTGATTCGAAAATTTATGGATATCCAGAATTTTCGGATCGAATCGAAACGAATAATAAATTGAATCAAATTTAACGGATAGAATGTCCAACCCTACATTTGGTTAGTTGAACGGTAGCTAACGCCTAAACATCTTAATATGAAGCGTTGTGATTTGATGTATTGAGGATTATGGTATTACGTAAAATCAAAGTAGATCGAACACAACAACAATATATATATCCATTGGTACAACGAACGAGCTATAGGTTACATTTTTTTAAAAAAAAGGAATATATCTTACAAGTTAATGCGATTGTATAAACAGGTGAATAAGCAAAATCTAAAATATGTGCGATTTTAAATCTGCAATATTTTTTCAATACTAATTGGACTAAATCTTTAAACTCTAGAATATTTTGAACGTTACAACAGTTAAAGTTCTTTAACATATTTTGAATCTCCATTAAAGCATATATAACACTAATAACATCGCTTTACATAAAACTTTCAATGTTGTCGGATAGCTTCAAGGAATATCTACGCTTTTGAAGTCTCATGAGGGTCCAAGTTCCGGAATGCTGTGTAAAGCTGGCCTCCAGCAACCGCCACCTCTTTCTCCGCTGTGGCTCCGCCTCACAAAGTCATCTCCACCGTCGTCTTCCACCCCCTATAAAAAATATTATAATGAATTCTATCTACACGTTACAGATCATATATGGTACTATTGAGATCATGAGAGCATGAACATGCACTTACCGTATCATCAGCCACATTTTCACTCGGATCAGATTGACGGTTGATCCGACCCGTTTCTTGATCCGTCTTCTTCTTGTGTTTCCTCTTCTTCTTCTTCAGCTCAAGTCCTCCTCCTTCTTTCAATAGCTTCCCAAGCTTCACACACTTCTTCGTCGCAAACTCGTTCAAAACCTCTTTTTAATAATAAAATCATTCACATTTTCAGCATAAAGATTATATTCTTAAAAGGAAAAAAAAAACATAGGAAAATGAAAAGGATGTAAACCTTCAAAGCTGACGAGACGATAAACATGTCCGATGAGTAAAGTGTCATCTGGTCGGAGGAGCTTAAGCTGCTTCAACGGAGATCCTTTCTCGCTCCTCAATGTCGGTGATGTCACCACCACTGCAACGTAATGGCCAGGATTGGAACTCATGACGTCACTTGCTTTCACCGACCAGTATATCCTCTCCACCTTGTTCTCCGCCGGGTGATGGATCAAAACCGTCGCTGCCTCCGCCGTTTGACAATTCCCCATGTGTTAAAGAAGAAAAGAAGAAAAGTTTTGATGTTTTGTTTTTGTTGGGTTCTTGTCTGAAAATGAAGTAGATTAAACGATATATGATGTTAATAAATAAAGAGGTTAGGGCCTTGGGGGTGGTCAATCTCTTTCCATTTATTTTCATGTTTTATGATAATGACAGATGAAAAATTATTAAAATGTTAATACAGATATGCGTATCACAACCAATTATTTGATTAACGATATGTTTAATTCTCTTGAATTATTAAGTTGACCAGAGTTTATGGTATCCAATTAGTAACATATATGGATTGTAAATTTAGGGACTAAAAGTCTAAAACCATCGTTTACGATGTTAATATTCAACAATCTGGATTTAGTAATTATATATATTGACTATTTTTCACTAGGTATAAATTGAAGCTTTCTGTTACAAATATATATATATATATTGATGCTCTGATGACTAATTCAGAAATATTTTAATACGTCAAAGAAATTTAAGACGATTAATGTCTTATTCTTGGTTCCAACAGCTATAGAGGTTGTCCTACACACTGAGCTAAAGAGAACGTGCAGAGCAAGGAAGTAACATCAGGTCTGACACATCTCCCCAAATCAACTAAACTCTTAATCATGTAAAATATACCTGCTGTTGATAACATCAATCTCGTGAAGTGTTATAATGCACAACCTCTTTCCTCTTTCCACCCATAGCATCATTAACCCTAGACCTAGAAAACGATCTACCAAGCTTACTAACCCCTTGTAGCCTTATATCACACCCGCAAGAAAGAGTTATTTTATTTGTTACGTTGACGCTGGTGTTGCGGATGATAAATTAAATACCGGATCTCTTTGTAATTTGATATCAAAAAATAATTTTATTAATTATTTTTGTCATTTGACTCTTATAAATAAATTATTTTTGTTATTTAAATTTCATAATACACGGTGATAAATATTTAAATCAAAATGAAAAAAAAAATTATTTTTATTTTCATTTGATTTGCACTCAAATTTTATTTTATAGTTATTTTTATTGAAAATTTTAATAACTAAACTTAATTATATTTATACAGCTTACCAAAGATAACTAACAATACATTTAGATTTAGCTCTATTTGTATCTTATGATTGAACTCAATTGAATTCGGTGAAAGGGAATTGAATTTAGTCGAACTATTGACTCATATCTCAAAAAAATTGATCTAGTTACCGATCCGGTTTTAAAAGCATTGTAAGAAACCTACAAGAACAACTTAGCAATGCACACAGAATCAACCTCTTTAAAAACAACAAGAAATAGGAAAAAAATACGTAAAATTCAAAGGGTTTTCACTTTTTTTTCTTTTCATCTTTGAAGTATAGTAAAAACTCCATCGACATTTCGTCTCTTAAATTGATCAAATAGCAAATTTTCTTCTTCAAACTTATCACAAGCCTTATCTTCATCGATCCTTCCCATCACCATGCAGCTATAGTTTCTTTGGAGATCCAACGGTCGTCTAACCGCCTTTATTTCTCCTCCACCGCCACGTGAGTAGTTTGAGACAAACTGGTAGCGTTCACGTGTCGCAGTCGTTGTCGTGGACGAGTTTAGTGTGAAGCTACGAGGGAGAGTGGTGCTTGGTTCTTCGTAGATGTGGAAATTACCGGGAGGCAAACCGAAACCGCAGGAGCCACCACCACCACGAATGTAACCAGCGGAGCATGATGTCATACTACGTATGTAGGCGTCACGTGCCATGATCAAGAAACGAACCGGAGATTTCACCAGTCTTGCTAGGTAGCTATCTTTCTTCATTTCTTTTGCTTTCATGATTTTTTTGAAAAGATCGAAATGAAAACAGCTAATACAAGACAAGATGCCGTCCATGGACTTCGATATAAATGTACACTTCAATACGGAAATAAAATTGTAAGGGTATATTTGTATATATAATAAATGTATATAGTTGGATGTTTACAGCTTGGGATTATCTTATTAAAAATAATGCAATATAAATCTAATTTACTTTGTTTAAGATCAAAATGAGGTTGAAGTTGCAATTGCAAACTACAAGACGACAATTTTGTTTGTATATATTTATAAAGTTTTGAAGCGCATATCGTGGAGTGTTTAAGCTAATAACAAGTATTAACATTTTAAACTTTTAAAAAATACCAAGCTGGGATATGTCCATGCAAACATTTGCCACGTACTCATCACTATGTCATTTTAAAACGCATTATTTTTAGAAGATTTGTTAGTCGACTTGATTTTTGCATAGTGATACAAATTTCATTATCATGGCACCAATTTGTCAAAATAAATGTTGCTTCGACTTTTAGTTTGCAGGCATGCAACTTGAGATGTCAGCAATCAATTTCTTTATGCTGACTTATGCAAGACTTTCTAGTTTTCAGACTATAACATGCCCCACCGATACTAAAGTTTTTGAAAGTCAATTCGATGGAATGTGATATAAGTGATCTCTAATGTACTTTTGGTTACAAATACTAAACTTCTACGCTTTTATAAACACTCATTTTCCGTTTCCCAACTATATGACAATATTTTCTTGATTTCTCTCATATCTTTCTGTTTTTTTTTTCTGGTCCAGGTTTAATAATTTCGTTAGCTATTATAATCAAGAGGAAATCCAACGAAGTTGTCTTGGTTTATAGGTTTAATGCTGATTAAGTAGTTATTTCCGTGTATCAAAACATTTAATATCACTTAAGCAGATCGTATCTCCAATTGAATTTTAACATATGTCTTGAAAATCAAGATCTCCCAAGAAGAATTTAATTATGATCAAATACAAAATAATGTTGAATCATGTGTATGTCATTGACCTAGGTAGTTATTAAATTGTTCAACATCCACACAATGATCTCAAAGTATGTATGCCTACATATACATAGATGGAGCCATGGAGATGGAGGTGGCTTATTGTGTATGATTTTATTATCTTTAATGCGTGTGTGAAGTTTGAAAAATATGGTGCTATATCAAAATAAGAAATAAATTTCCACAAGAAAGTCAGCTGCTTTCATTTAAGACAACCACAAAAAAGGTAATGAAGATGGGAATACTTTATTAGCTTGTGTAAAATATAATGTAAAGTGTTGTTGTTATTCATGTACGTCAAAGAGTATATATACACAGCTATATTCCTATTCCTAATGACAATAGATAATTACAAGGTAATAGTTATCATTAACTCTAAGATTTATCCTTATCTACTATACCCCCCTCAAGTTGGAAGTGAGATCATGAATTTCCAACTTGGAAAGAAGATAATCAAATGTAGTAGATGGTAAAGCTTTGGTTAGAAGATCAGCCGGTTGTTCTGTCGTAGAAATGTGTTTAGTAGCAATGAGCTTTTCCTCCACGGCATCACGAACTGCATGACAATCACACTCAACATGTTTAGTGCGTTCATGAAAAACTGGATTAGCAGCAATGTAGATAGCAGCCTTGCTGTCGCAGTAGAGATTCATAGGCCGAGGATGACTGATTCCAAACGCAAGAAGTAGTTGCTTGACCCACTTAAGTTCTTTTAATGTGAACGCCATAGCACGATACTCGGCTTCAGCAGACGACATGGAGACTGTCTTTTGCTTCTTTGCTTTCCAACAAACAGGCGATTGACCAAGCATGACAATGTAGGCACTGAGAGACCGTCGAGAGATAGGGCAAGTGTTCCAATCTGAATCGCAATAAGCATTTACCTGAAGATTAGAGTCAGAACGCAGTAATATACCCTGAGCAGGAGATCCTTTGACGTAACGAACTGTTCGTAACGCAGCGTTCCAGTGATCTTGACGAGGCTTCTGCATACACTGTGACAAAACATGGACGGCATAAGCAAGCTCCGGGCGTGTAAATGTTAAATATATGAGGCGACCAATAAGGCGTCGATAGGCAGCAGGGTTAGTGAGATAAGGAGACTTGGAGAGAAGAAGCTTATGATTAAGCTCAATAGGAACTGGTGACGGCTTGGAACCAAGAAGGCCAGTTTCTGCAACAATGTCCAAGGCATACTTGCGTTGGGAAAGAAAAATTCCTTCTGCATTACGTGCAACTTCAATACCAAGAAAGTACTTAAGTTTACCTAAGTCTTTCATATGAAAGCACTTGTGTAAATAGTTCTTGAACCGTTGCATAGTAGAGAGGTCATTGCTGGCGATAATAAAATCATCAACATAGATTAAAATGTGAAGACACACGGCACCTTGGAGAAGTGAAAAATGAGAGTAATCAGCTCTGCTTTGCTTGAAACCGTACGACTTCAAGGCAGTAGTAAGTTTAGAAAACCAGCATCGGGGAGATTGTTTGAGCCCGTAGATAGATTTCCGTAGACGGCAAACTTTTGAAGGATCTGGATCTTCAAAACCAGGCGGAAGTTTCATATATACCTCTTCTTTTAGATCGCCGTGCAAAAAGGCATTATGAACATCCATCTGATGTATTTCCCACTTTTTAACAGCAGCAACTTGAAGAAGAATTCGAACTGAAGTAGGTTTAGTGACTGGAGCAAACGTATCAGTATAATCAATGCCTTCTCGTTGACGATTACCGCAGGCCACCAAACGTGACTTTTTGCGAGTTTCCTTTCCTTGAGCATCGAATTTCGTTTTGTAAATCCATTGACATATGATGGCCTTCTTACCAGGAGGTAACGAAGTTATATCCCAAGTATGATTTGCTTCTAGTGCTGTATACTCATCCACCATAGAATTATTCCACTCATCATCAAGCGAAGCTTCTTTGTAGTTCTTAGGATCACAAGAAGATGTCAACGAAGCTAAGAACGCCATGTGAGAGGAGGAAAAATGAGCGTTAGAGAGATAGTCAACAATGGGATAAGGCGTACCTGAGACCGTAGTAGAGGAACCAGAGAGAGAAGCCGGTGCAACGAGAGAGAATATAATGTAAAGTGTTGTTGTTATTCATGTACGTCAAAGAGTATATATACACAGCTGATATTCCTATTCCTAATGACAATAGATAATTACAAGGTAATAGTTATCATTAACTCTAAGATTTATCCTTATCTTCTATACTGTGTTTGCAGTATGACCCAGAATAAGTAGCAATTTCTATCATAGTCAAGAAAACATACTACAGTAATTAACTATCACACTAATAATCAATACCAATTTATTAAGACTGGCATCGGTAGGTATATATGTGAAGTAGTTTGATTAAGAACATCTCCAAAAGACATTCCATAATTTTAAATATGAAATTTTTGGTTCTCCAAAAATAAACTCTAAAACTTCAAATTTGAAGTTTTGAGTAGTGAAATTTCAAATATAAAGTGTCACTATTTAAAACTTCAAATTTGAAATTTCATATTTGTATTTGCATTCAGGTCTTACAATTATACATTATATTTATAATTATTATATATTATATATTTTATCATTTTAACTCTTAAAAATTCATATCTCATAAATATTTCAAATTTTTTTTGTAAATTTAAATTTTACACCTATTTTTTTCGTCTAAACAACAAGATAAGATTTAGATAGTTAAAATTAGAAGTAGACAACAACAATATTACAAGACTTAATGTGGTATTTTATCTATAGTTTAATATTTAATTATATATTTCTATAATTATTGTATAATTATTCTATAATTATTGTATTTAATTATAGTACGTTATAATAATATTTCTAATTTTTTATGAATTTGAACTAGTTATGACAAATATAAGGACTATAGTATAAAATATAAATAGTTTTAATGTTAAGTTTGAATTTTTGTTTTTGGAGCATAACACCTATAAACTTTAAATATAAAGTTATGTAAATTCTAAGAGAGTGTTTTTTTGGAGATGCTCTAATAATAAAGAAAGTACAACGACACAATACATATTATATCATTTACCAAAATATTGCAATGAATTACTACAAGTTACAAAGTCATTTAGGGGTTGTGGTTTTGGGTGTAGATGTAATCAGTATGAGCAACCAAAGTTCTTCGTATCAAGAAGCATTCTTCTTCTCCAACACCTTCGCAGTTTTCATCTCCTTGTTCTACTTTCTGTGTATAACAAAAAATATACGCACTTGATCACTAAATTGTTAATAATTAATGTACTACGTGTATAAGAATAAGAAGAGTAAGGTTGAAAGACCTCAAAGGAGATTTCTCCAGGATAAACGGAGGTTTGAGTAGGCCTGGCTGATGCGTATGTTAGCGTAGAGGAGAGGAGGAGGAGAGCAGTGATGAAGGAGAAAGTTGTGAACTTAGCCATTTTATCATATGACTAAGTACTATATGCGACTCTTGTTATAACTGCTAAGAAGACCAGATCAAATGTATCGCTAGAGAGAGAGAGAGATGGTAATATCTTAAGATGGGGATGGAGTTATATGAGATTTAGGTTATAGATGTTAGAAGAGTACTTATAGAGAAAACATGAGATGAGATAAGAGGTCAGCAGAAACGTGAGCCATATAATCTTAAGACGTGCCTCATGAAAATATTACCATAACAAACATGTACATCTACATTAATTTATAAGTTGTTTTTGATGTTGGGAAAAATGTAATTAAGCGATTGTGTTTTGGTTGGTGGATCAGGCAGTTTCTGGTGAAATTGATCAATGTGGAGTCAACTATATCTTAAATACCTACATACATAAATAGATGAAAGTTGGTGGCGGATGTATCTGTATACTATGACATGAGATTCACCTCATGATTCTCGTGTGAAGTTAGTTGCATCTACACTAATGAGTGTCGTAGTAACTAGTAACTTTGAAAATCAAATCACTTTCCTGGTTGCAGTTAGTGAATAAATGATTATTTCCTCCCTTTTATTCCTTCCTAATAATAGAGTGAAAACTCTTTTTTTCACTCTATTATGTTGTTGTAGTTAAGTAATTATTTTCTCAAACAATCTATCAAACAAAAGAATCCAGGATATAATTTTTCCGTTGCTGTCATTTTGCACTATGAAAAAGCTGTTATCCAACCCAAACCAAAACTCGTTTTATCCCCTCACGAAAAGATATGTTATGTAGTCTGTAGATGAGGTTTGATATTAATTATACAGTATATAAATAAATAAATAAGACGTCAAATACTTTTGATTTGGTTCTCTTCATCTCTTCTTCTTCTCCGGTAAGATTGTGTATTTTCCGGCGGTGGCGCGCCCTTGGCGTCACCGTCGGGATCATCTATTTTGTGTGATCTTCATCTAGTCTTTCTTTCTACTCTTTGGTTTGGATTCTTAGATCTATATCTAGTTGAATCCATGAGTAATTGAAAGCGGGTGTTTGATCTTGTGTTGCATGTCTGTTAGACTTTGATCTGATGATCCTAATCCTTCAGTTTTCTTCTTGGTTGAAATCCTTTTGTGTTTCAATGTTGCATGCTGATCTCGAGTTCCCTTTGAATTGTTTTGAGTTTCGATCTACTGCTTGCTCGCCTTTGTGTGGGTGGTGGTATCCGGAGGCATGGTTCCTCACTCTTTGTCATCAGCCTTTTGATCTGATCGAGATCTTATCTTTGTTTAGCTTCATGTTGGCGGTCTCGCCGGTACTCTGAAGCTGTGCTAATCTTGTTTAGGCTATGCACAATAGGAGGACATGGCTGTTGGTGTCTTTGTCTTATTTGGACTTCATCGATTGGTCCTTCAAAGGTTCTCTTATACAATGCATGTTCTTATTTTCCTTTGTATGAGGTTCAACCGAGGTGATATTGGTAGTGATTAGTTTTGATTAAATCTTAGTTTCAGTCATGTTTTCACCTAAATTCCCATTTGTGGGCTTTGGTTTCCGGGGATCATGTGTAATCCGCCGGCTATGTTTTCTCGGGATGTTCATCATCGCTGGGCTTATGTACTGAAGTTGGTTTTAATATATAATCTTTGAGTGTGAAAAAAAAAAAAAAAAAAACTTTTGATTTGGTTCTGAGACTTTTACAAGTATTTTGGAAACGAATATTCGGAATAAATAAAGGTAAATGCATATATAAGCCATAATGAAACAGACGCTCTCTTGGTTACTTTAATCTACATCTAGTCCCATAGTTACACGTTTACAGGTACTGTCGCTCTCCTGACTCGAACCACTCCCACATTTGTCTCTCCCTTTGTCTGGAACCATAGGAAAAGCAAAAGACGCAAACCACTCAAAGTTGAAAATAATACGCATTTGATCTTATTAAGGCGAAAATACCCTCCTGCATGCCCACAAGAAGTCCCTCCATAAATATGAGACTCGTACAATGCAATTCTTCCCTTTTCCCCTTCTACTCTTTCTATCTTTGTAACATTTTTAAAATATATAATTAAGCTCTGAGAACCATCATCATGTCTTCGATTTTTCCAGGTTTCTCATCTGAACCGGTACTTCTAAACAAAAGAGGTCCCGGTCTGGCAAATAAACCTTCTAACCAGACTGGTTTGAACATTTTCCTTTTGGAAAAAGATGAGCGGCGAAGGAAACGAAGAAAATCAAACCGGGAATCTGCTCGACGGTCGAGGATGAAGAAACAAAAACACCTAAACGACGTGAGAAGCCAGCTTAACCAGCTCAATACAGAGAACCACGAACTAGGAAACAAGCTCCGGTACGTTATGCACCATTGTCAACACGCCAATATGGAAAACGATCGTCTGCGACTGGAACACCAGATTCTACGTGATAAGCTGTTAAACTTACGACAAGCTTTGATGCTGAGGAAATTCCAGCAGAGTTCTACGTGTGCCACTTGGTCGTGCGTTAACAGTACCGTTGTAACGGTCCATCAGAATCCGTTAATGCTAAGAGATCACGTAATTTGAGATTTATGAGAAAAAAAAAATATTATTTGTTGTGGACACAAAGGAAATATATATGACATACTATATTAAGGCATAAGGTTTCTATTTAGTTAGGTGGATACTATTAGTATTTATATATGTTCATATTGTAAATAAGTTTCGAGAAGTAAAGGTATATGGTGTGTTTAGATACTATTTAGTTAGGTTATTATGGGAGAAAATCATACTATTCTGTTATTTACAGATTATACAAGTCTTTCTCTTCTTATTCGCTAATGTTTTGAAACTGATTATGATAATATATGGATTATGAAATAGTTACAACATATGATTTTCTAAGGCTTGGAACAACAACATAAATGCTTCAAAGCCGCTAATGTCGGTAATATATTAATTGGTGGGAGCTGAGATGTATGTACATGACAAAGAAATGACCTAGCTATCGTTCGTTCGGTCTTTTTATTTAAATAAACTCTATCGGCTTATTTGGTCGGTTTCGGAAAAAAACGCATTTAGGAATACAGAATAAACTGGTTATCACACCAGCTGATCCAAATTTGAAATATCTTCCGAATTCGTTTTAGTGTGCTTTGATGTATATGAATTTTTAACACGTGTATTATTTCAAAAAATTATGACATTGAAGATAGGAATTGTCTGGTGACTTCATAATCATATGTCCACCACCAGTCATGACTTAATTAAATGCACTTAGAGCATGTTTATCCAAGGGTGCTTAGAGAAGTGCTTAGGAGGAGGAAGGTGCTTAATATGAAGAGAGAGAGTGTGAAAAGTGCTTAAGCAAGCACTTTTCACACTCTCTCTCTTCATATTAAGCACCTTCCTGCTCCTAAGCACTTCTCTAAGCACCCTTGGATAAACATGCTCTTAATTTATCTCTCTAGGAGTTCCAAATTCTCCAAAATTCGTTTAAAGAAAAGAAAAACAAAGTTAACTTTATGCAAGAAATTTATCCATCCCGCTTTTCTTTTCCTTTTCAAATGCTTTTGCTTTCCTCCCTCAAAGCATTAGATAAATCTATGTTTTACGTAACTAAGTGCGTGAATACATAGTCGAATTCGCAGAAAACCAATTGGATTGTGTAATACTCAAAGACTAGTCGTCCACCTAACTATATATATAGTATTAAAGAAAAATAAAATCGTTTTTGTTTGTAAGACTAAATATAAACTGAGACATGGTTGAAATGTGACCTTGTCTAGTCACTCTGGTATTCCAACTGTTTATGAGATAAACAAGAAGATTCAACAGCTTAAAGTTTATCTGTTCATGATAAGATGTTTTTGTTCGAGACTTTGTTGTCAAGTGATTAAAAGACATGTTTGAGTCATTAACATATTCTAGGTTTGATCTATTTGATGCGTGAAATTAAATTTATGTACATTGTTTCAAGACATCCACATTATTATGAAATTTGCTTTCGAGTTATTTAAATATCAATAAAGAATGTAAAATTAGATTCTCTACACACCACAAATCCTTTAATTCAATTTATACTCTATTTCTTCTTTATCTATCCTCCCTAGACATCACTACGTTCCTCACCAATATATGGTAAATCCCTAATTTCACATTTTCTTAAAGATATCTACCCAATTCACCCATAAAGAATATATCAATGAGTTGTATTTCTCCGTGAAAATTAATATGGTCTTTTCTACTGATCTGGAATGCCACTGGTTAATAAGAAATACTTTTGAAAATGTTTTTGGAATTTTTTTTTTGAAAAATTCGCCTGAATACACATGATAAGCACATTACATATTCCAAACTTGGTGACATGTATTTTAGCCTAAACAGTTTATAAAAACTGGTGACATGTATTTTAGCCTAAACAGTTTATAAAAACTATAAAGCATGTCATCGTGAGCTAATTAAACCCATAAGGCCAGATCCATCACAACTTATTTTTTTATCAAGATCCATCACAACTATGAGCTAGTAAGACCCATAAAAACCAAGCCTATTGATATAGAATTGTAATAATTAAAAGCCTATAAAGGCCCAATGAAACCCTAGCTAAAGCTCCAGAAGATTAGAACATATATAAAGAGCCACTAAACACTTTCTCTAGCATCATCCTCTATAGCAGAAATAAAAAGAGGCGCCATTACTCTTCTCTCTTACTTATTTCGCATATGTTTTTTTTCAATTCAATGATTCTAGTTACCGAGTAATATCTACTTGAAACAAATTTATATTTGTGATTATATTTTTCAAAAAATCGACTGGAGGAGAGAGCAGTGATTATAAACCACAAGAATCAAAAATTCTGATCTGCTCAGTTTTCTGGGCATGATAGACTCATTATACACCCATAGAATATGAGCTCTCTTCTCAAACGTCTTTTGTTTTTATTTCCTAAAGTTTTACCATCTTAATTATTTGTGTTCACATCCCACGATCATACTTCTATGTGAAATTTTATATTTTAGTTGTAAAGAACAAGTTCATAAAGGCTATACATAACGAGTTGTGATAAATCGTTGAACCTATGCATATAAACTACCTTTATCCTTATTGTAAGCTATTCAAACAAAGTATGCGTGAGGGCTTTGGTTAACATACCTTCCATCAATGGTATTGAGCCGGTTTACCCGTCATATAAAAATTTATACGAACTGTAATTAAAACATATGAATATTTGCCAAGGACTTTAATTCAATACTTAATTCATCTTGGGCTTAGACAAAGAAATCAATATTCATATTTCATAGACTGTCCACGATCCTAAAATGAGACTCTACCTGCAAAAGTCTTTTGCATAAAGGCTTTTTACGGTGTGGCTGACATCAAATTCCCTCTTCCTTACCGGTCAAATTCATTTTCTCTTGTGATCTGGATTACCACTCGCCCAAGTGACTAAACAAAACCGTTCCTGAACTTGCATGGGTTAGAGAAGGTTAAGATGCAACTCTAGAAGTCACTAAGAGGCCTGATTAAATGTGCTAGGCCCATTGATAAAACTCCATACGTTGCTTGAAGTGTATGGGCACTATAAGAATGGCCCACGTTACATTAAGCATACTCATACTGATTATATTACACATCAGGTTTCTCTGTTGACTTGAGCCAAAAAAAACAAGCTAATCTTATGATATATATTATACTAGCCGCTAAATGTATTCAAATTTCCATTTCTACGAGCTATGGTAGGTTACAAAAATTGAACATTTGTCAGAATGACATAAAAACAAAAAACAGCATAAGTTTTATGAGGGGAGAGACAAAACACAGATTGGTATAAAGACATAAACATAACTTGACCATGTTGTTTTTTAAACTTGGTATCTAATGCAGGTGGGAGTATTTTTCTTTATTTCATCAAAGTATTTATTTGGTTCATCATTGTCTTTGATATGCTCATATGACCTACCCAACTGTAATATATGATGAGACCAACTTGTACATATATACATTGCAATACTTTTATAGACAAAATTTTCTCTTTCTCAGTAAATTTTATTTTTCCAACTAAAATAATGTCCACAAAATATTTAGTGAAAAGTCCAATATTTTCTTTTGTAATAACAAAATAATTTTGAACCGAAATCTACAATAATCCTTAAATATTTACCATCGTATAATTTTTATTTAAGATATTTCGTAACTACTTATGTCTAAAATAATCGAAGATAGATTTGAAACATCTTTGGAATTTTAGTAAAATGATTCAAACCATGAATGAAATAATAGCAAAATTATTCGTTATTATAATTATAATTCATGAATCTTTTCTCTCTTTTTTTTGTAGAATTTTTACTCTCCATCACAGAATTAAAATGATTCAAACCATGAATCTTGCTTCTAGTGAACCACATTTTTACTGTGATGGAGAGTAAAAAATCTAAAAAATATTGTTCCACCAAAAAAAGTGAACCACATTTTAACTCATACATTGAGGGATAACAACCTCGATTAGACAAGAGAGACCACTTCGAATAAAGATTCACTGAACATTCAAAAATACAAAACAAAAATATACAAAACACATATCAGGTTCTGAGAGTGTTAATGGGACCCACGTTTTCAATTTTTGGAACATGAATGGTGGGCTATTAATTAAAACAAAAATGGAAGAAGGAAAGATCACGATGGTTGTCACAAAAATGTTGTTGTTTGATGTAGGGATTTGGGGGTGGGTAGGGTCTTATAACCTATACTTTTCACATGCATTCTTAAACCCTATTTCTACTGCATCTCCATGTGCCTCCCTCACGTCTCTACCTCCTCTCTTATTTTATGAAACATTTTATTACCAGACAAATATATACATAATATTTTCTGTCTCGTATCTTTAACTAGCTAAAAGAAATTTATAGATTTCCATGTACATAAACTTCAAACTTTCCCAGTTGTTTTTTTTCATAAGAGGGAGATCCTAAAAAATTAGGTCCCAAAACTAATCTCACGATATATCCGGATATACGAAGATTAAATCCATTTAAACGCGATTAGGGAACCAATGCTATTCAAATCCAGCGGAAGTTCCAATTAAAATCACTTTACCACTAGATCAAAACAGTTTGTTTCATTTTACCTATTGTTTTTATCTATTTCTAGAAATATTATATTTTTAAAATATTATTACAATTATTGATCAAAATATCGGAGTACTATTTTTTCAAAAATAACTTACAGAACTTGTTTAAAGTAAAATTTGAGTTCATCAGACATTAGTTACAAAAATAATTCGAATTCCGCAAAAAAATTTGTTAAGATGATATTATTTCAGTCACGACGTACCAAATGTTATCAACATTCAATTTCTCCCATATTCCCTTTCTTCCGATATAATTGATATAATATAAGAAATCTACTTTAAAAAAAATAAAAATAAGAAATCTACCAACTCTATTTATTTAATGATAAATAATAAAATATGTTTTTGTTGATTCTTTAAAATGTAGAATCTGAAACTGTTCTATGATTTTAATAATATAGATTTCATTTATGAGTTGATATGATATCTTTTGGTAGTTTCAGAAAACACAATCAAG